GTGTATAAGAGACAGTGTATAGATATGTAATAAGCGATTCGAATGGCCGAGCGGTTAATAATGGGCGCACAGAAACCTAAAGCATTATATTATCATCTTCATCACCACCATCGTCATCATTGTCATTAGGCATATAGTTATTATTTTCATCATCACCATTATCAATGTTAATAGATAGACCTGTTACTACTACAATTCTCAAATCACGACCTAAAATTAAGACAACGCCTTAATTTACCAACTTACCAACGTCATCTCCAACATCAATCCTTTGTAAAGCTTTCCTTATTTTATCAATTTGATTGATTCCTGGTCTACAGGATGCTCTCCAATGTTGAAGCATGGAATGGCATTGTTGTACTGGGTCTGCAGAATCTTTACATATTGCATTCAATATATCTTCGTCAAGGCTGAGTTCCAATCCCAAATCTTGCCATTTTGTATTTACGTTTGATGCAAGGAATTTAATATGTTTTTCCGATAGATCCATTATTTATCATCTTTGGATTATAATGGACAGAGAATCCATACATACAGAAATAAACAACGAAAAAGATATATACAATGTTAAAGAAGATGCATATTATTTTTAAAAAGTGAATCTGTTTATCTAAAGTTCTTTGTAAACGTAGTACAACCTTTTTTACAGGCAATTTGCTTCTCGTTGTATCTCTATCTTTTTTTCATTAATTTAATGATGTAAGTTTTTTTTTCGTAATTTATATTGTTATTGATGAAATAAAATATTGAGTTGTGTTGAATGCATTGAAAATAAACAATCTGAGAAAAGAGGATTATTACCAAGTAATTGTAGGAAAAGATGCCTAGGTACCAAATAAATGAATTATCCTAATTAAAATAAGAAAAAGAGGATTAATACCACATGAATGAATTAAATAGGATATTAAAACTAAGTGAATATAAGGAAATATTATTAATATAAAATGCAAAACGGGATTAAGAAGAAATAAATTATAAAAATGGAATTAATAAAGTGAAAAAAGTTCAATTAACTAAATTTGAAAAAGAGGATTACAGATTAATAAATAAGCTAAAAACTATGTTCAATAGGCCTATAACATGAACCCGTCAGATCATTCCTGGTAAATTTGAGCTCAATTGGATCATTTTAAAAATTTAAACTTTGACATTTGGTGTCACAAGCAGTATCTATCGGCACACACGATGAGCGTGCTCCTTCATCCATTGGCTTAGTTCAAAGGACAAGACTGCGGATTTTTGACCGTATGTGACCTTTGACCCCAAACTGTGAACACCCATTGTTTGGAAGATGTGACCGGTTTGCGATTTTTTTTTCCGTACGAAACATTTACATGAAACTCCACTCGGGCCGTCTCGGCTGAATCGACCCGAAAATCTCATTGCAGAATTCAGGAGGTCAAAAGGTCATCAACAGATAAACGTCTA